AACTTTTTAAAGTTACAAGAAAGTCCACAATATTCGGACCGATACCGGTCTGTATATATTTATAGAATGGCGCCGGTTGGGAGACGGAACTTTTAAAAGTTACAAGCAAGTCCACAATATTCGAACCGATACCGGTCTGGATATAGTTGCAAGTTTTAAAAGTTGCAGCTGGGTCCTCAATATTCGGACCGATACCGGTCCGTATATATTTGCGATGCCTTTTCCCCCCACAGTTACAGACCGTTGTTGGTTCGTATATATTTTATTATTTTATTATATTATTTTTTTGGGACCAATTTCGGTCCGCTTATTTCAATTTCTCAATTATTATTTATATTTCTTACTGAAATATACGGACTGATTTCGGTCCGAATATTATATATATACGAACTGATTATGCGTCGGTCTGTATATTAGACTTATTCATACCAGGTTTTTTCGGATCAACTATAAGGACCAATATCGGTCCGGATATATATATTCAGACCAATTTCCTATATATCCGGACTGATATTTCAGTTCGGAAATCCCATTCCTGCAGTAGTGACGTAATTTATTGTCAAATGTTGGCATGTTATGCTGTAAAGGGTGCAATGGAAGTCAAAATTAAAAATTTCATCTATCAATGTATTTAGAATTTTTATGAATTCATTGATAATTAAAGAATATTTAGTGATACCTCAAAGAATTATGTCTCTTTTGATGCATAGCTTAGATATGCAACTTTTACATAAAACCTAGAATCTAAAGCTAGAACTTTTTTAGTGGTATTCACATGTGCACTAATGGAGTTAAGAGAAGACTGATTTCCCTTTAATGCTAGTCTTGAGGTAATTTAGTTTAATCTTCCTTTGTGGTAATGGTTCTACAAAACAAACAAAGTTAAAACGAATATAACTTTTAAATGTCTCAACTATGTGCGACAAGGAAGAACACTCAAGAAAATATTTTTTTCTCTCCTCTACCTTTTTTATGGCCTAGGTCTATAATGAAGTTATAGAAAATTATATTTTCTACTATTAGTACTTTTAGGAAATAGGAGGACAATAATAGAATTACATTAAATCAAATTTAGTTTTCCAATCAAAGTGGAAATTAAGAAAGAAGAAAGCATTCCATCATTTTCCTTGTCTTGCCTTACTTCCTGGTCCATGTTGAACTTGGAGTGTAGCAAGCACTTGTTGCCACCCTTCTCTGCCACACATGCTGTCACGCCCCATAACCCAAATCCGAGGCGCGACAGACGCGGTGCACTCATGAGACGGGTCCCACAAATGCACAAGGCTCGGAACTTACTCAACAAAATCAGTTTTGATACCATAAAATTTCCAATTAAAATCTAACTTACAAGAGCGCAGTGTACATGTATCTAAAATCTATGTCAAATCTCAAGTGGCTAGCCTTTTATCACGTCACTCCCCTTGA